CATAACCCATAAGCCCCGCCCAGAACTCATATACACAAAGGGAGTGCTTATTTAGGCCACATATGGCCTAAATAAGGTAAGGGAGGGGGGTTTAGCTTATTTAGGCCACACATGCTCAAACTACCCTTTTCAGGCAACTGAGTTCGTTCCACTTTCATAATGGTGCACCTTTCTCATTTAGTACGGTTTTGTCTCAGTGTACAACTTATAAATCATAACCATAATGAATATTGTAAAGAACAAAGCACAGTACGCAAAATTTTGCTCAATCCCAATGGTTTGAATGAGGGCCAGATTTTTCCTTCATGGAGGGGCAAAAGCTAGGCTACCATTTTGGCACACTTTGGTCAAGTGAAAAGGTCAAATCCTCCGAATGGACTTCCGGGTTAAATTTGGGGTATAAAAAGAGTGTACACTACGTGGCTGAGTCAAAGTTACACTATCTTTGCCTGAGTGACACTCTCTCATACTGTCTCGTAGTAGTACATGTAGGCTTGTAGGCCTAGTAGTAGTAGTAGCAAAGATCGTGTAGAGAATATTTGGTAGTAGATTCTATCTAGTAGGCAGTTTAGTGAACGTGCTCAGGGCGAATCGGCCTCGATAAGCCCCGTAGACTTTTGTGATCGGCCACAGAGCCTCGTGTTTTGATGGGTCTAGATCTAAACAACTCAGTGTTATTCGCACTGCCACATCCGACAGGCCTAGATCTACATCTTTTTAAAAGGAAAAGAAAGATCATCAAAATGGTTGAATTCGCGTGAAAATTGATTCGGTAGAACTAGAACTATTAAAATTTGCTTCTGAAAACAAGGCAATTTTTATACGAAGGCCATTTTTATAACTCGATGAAATAAAAACTACTGGCTGTGTACTGTGTTATTCTGTATAAAAATAAATTATAATGAAACTTCAGGACGTATTATTATTTTCCAGCATCTTTTGACGCCTGAGCTGTAGAGGTTGAAGTTTTCACAACACTAATAGATCTAGTAAGAGGGTTAGGTAATAGGGCTTTCCGTAAAAAATGCATAGATCTACAAAAGCCGAACCACCGAATCGACCGGGCACCTCGCTCTCCCCTGCACACTGTGATAACGTGTTGCTGCGGTATCGCATTATTCAACTATTAATACGTGCGGCTATGGCAATTGGGATGTACTGACTGAAAAAAAATCAGTTTTGTTTTTATTTTACCATATATTTGACTTTAATAGTGCAGGCGATAGCAAGATCTAGATTCCCTGTCTAGAATCAGTAGTAGCAGGCCTATGCTAGAAGCAGCCAGAGAGCCTGCAACTGCTAGATCTAGATCTAACTTATTATTGCTATGCCTTTGGGCTTTAGAATTGAAATAAAACGAATTGCACAGTTCTAGTTACTTTTAGATTCAGCAAGTAACTGTATTTCTAGAGTCAATAATAACAAATCTCAGCATAACAATCACTTTTACTTGTATTAGAATAATTAGATCCAACTTTTTTTTCTAAAATCTGTTTTGCGCAAACTTAATATTTTCTCTACTTGTAGAGCACAGAATTTAGATCTACATTGTAAGCCTCTGCTCAGTCTTTTAGTATGCATAATAAAATACACACACACAAACACACACACACACACACACACACACATATATATATATATATATATATATAGAGAGAGAGAGAGAGAGAGAGAGAGAAAGAGAGAGAGAGAGAGATCTATATAATCATTTTATGTTGATTTCGGGATATTTTTAAAACGCTTTTTTTCAACATGTCATAAAATCAAATTGTGCCATTTTCTTTGAAAAGAATAGCATTAGCAGTGGACTTTTTAGACAGCGAGTCTCTGGTTCAATATTTTTTAAAAAATGTTAATCAATGAAAATTGCAAATTGATAATAGTTTAGTCCTGTAGAGGATAGGTGGACTCTGGGGTCTGCAGAGCGAAATACTAGGTTTTAGGATGTGAACCCTGGAGTCACCATAGTGAAATAAGGTTTGGTTGAAGTAAGGATTGGTGGACCCCGGGGTCAACGTAGTGATAAATAAGCAGGTTTAAGGTGGTCTACCTAGCGAAATACTAGGTTTTAGGACAGGTGAACCCCGGGGTCACCGTAGTGAAACAAGTAGGTTTCTTTAAAGATTGGTGGACCCCGGGGTCAGCGTAGTGAAATAAGTAAGGTTAATTTTAAAAGGATTGGTGGACCCCGAAGTCACCATAACCGTAGAGGAATAAGAAGGTTTAATTAAGGATTGGTGGACCCCCGGGACACCTTGATTAAACCTACTTATTTTACTATGGTGACCGCAGGTTCCACCTATTCTAAAAACCTAACTAGTATTTCGTTAGGTAGACCCTGGGGTCCACCTTAAACCTACTTATTTCAATACGTTGACCCCAGGGTCCACCAATCCTTAAAATTAAACCTAGATTTACATGTACTTATTTCACTACATTGACCCCAGGGTCCACCAATCCTTAATTAAACCTAGATCTACTGATTTCACTACGTTGACCCCGAGGTCCACCAATCCTTAATTAAACCTATATCTACTTATAATTTCGCTACGTTGACCACGGGCTCCACCAGTCCTACTATAAAATAAACTGAGATCTACTTATTTCACTATGTTGACCCCGGGGTCCACCGATCCTTAGTTAAACCTAGATCTACTACTTATTTCACTACGCTGACTCCGGGGTTCACATCCTAAAACCTAGCATTTTGTTAGGTAGACCCCGGGGTCCACCTATCATTTTGGCTAGATAGACCCCGTAGTCCGCCTATCCACTTTTTTAATAATAACTGAAAACAATACATGCCAGTTGTCATGAATAGTGAAGAAAATTGCGGGGAAAAAAAGACAATGAGGTAGACTATATAATTTGTCCAAAAAATTGCAAGTGCAAGTGAAGATCATAAAATAATTTTGTTATTTTCTGGTCATCTTTCCCGGTTTATAAAAAGATTCCAGTGGGCCTACTACTAGATCTATGTATCTGAAGAACATTTTGCTTGCCTTTATTAGCTTTTTTCATGTACATGAAAGCATAGAATATATAGTTTCACACATATATATGCACAATACTTTGAAAGAGAAAGATAAGGTCATTGTTGTTTTGTTTTTTTACGGAATCCGTTTTACGTTGAGAAAAGCGGTAAAAACAGGTTAAAAAATGTTAAGAATGCCCATAATATTAGTATTAGGAATCCGAAATTACTACCTAGTTGGCTTACTCTTTAATAACCTTGAGCAGTTAAGAAAAAAAAAGACAATGATATAGGATTTGTCTAAATATGACCATTAGCAATAAAGATGTTGCCCATTTTGTCCAATTATCCTTGCAGGTAAAATCACCCTGCACTGTACCTCAATAAGCACAAAAGGAATATTTCTGTGACTTTGTATAAAGGTGTGGCCTAAATAAGGTAAGGGAGGGGGGTTTAGCTTATTTAGGCCACAGGTGTGGCCTAAATAAGGTAAGGGAGGGGGGTTTAGCTTATTTAGGCCACAGGTGTGGCCTAAATAAGGTAAGGGAGGGGGGTTTAGCTTATTTAGGCCACAGGTGAGGCCTAAATAAGGTAAGGGAGGGGGGTTTAGCTTATTTAGGCCACCTGTGGCCTAAATAAGGTAAGGGAGGGGGTTTACCTTATTTAGGCCATATGTGGCCTAAATAAGGTCACCCATACACAAATCGTAAGTGAGATGAGTGGTCACTGTTTACCCAGTCTATAACAAAGTAACAAAGGATGTCAACAAGAACTTGTGACAGAAGCGTCGCTCGTTCTCCGAGTGGTGGCAACCCATGTGTTTGTTTTAACATGGCACTCGGTCTTCCTCGTCTGATACATTTCATTTTATTGTCACTTTTGTGCAAAATCAGCAACAAAATAAAAACTACAAACAAAATACAAACCAACCACCACCACCACCAACAAAAACAACAATGTGGCTACTTTCGATTGGGACCTTAGATGGGAATGGTTTGTTTTCTTCGGCAGGACTGATCAAGATGAAGAAAACAAACCATTCCCATCTAAGGTCCCAATCGAAAGTAGTCACCAAATTATATCGAAAAAAACGCAAGGGGGGAAATGGAAAGTGGTCGATTGTACAGGTGGCCATCTTATTATACTTATAGAGGTGGCCGTCTGGGCAGGTTTGACTATAATTATTCATCTCATTATCAGCTGGATATCAGTTAAATGTTTGTATGAGAGAAGAAATATAAGAGCCGTTGAGATGAAATGCTTCTGTAAACTACTTAACATGCATGCATAGTCTAGAGATCATATCACCATTGAAGAAGTGAAAAGATGCATAAAAATGTAATCGGGCCTCACAGACATTCTATCATTGGTCAAGCAAAGAAAGCTGAAATGGTTTGGCCATGTCATCCGCTCTTCAGGCCTTGTTAAAACAATTCTACAAGGCACTGTGCAGGGAGGATAATGGAGAGGCAGACAGAAAAAAAGATGGGAGGATAACATCCGAGAATTGGACAGCCACGGAGCTGCTGGACACACTGAGGAAAGCAGAGAGTCAAGGAGAGGAGACTTGTTGAAATCTCATGTCAGAGGCGACCCTAAAGGATGACAAATCTACGGGAGCAGAAGAGAGTCCAGGCCCAATGTAGGCATCTCTCAAGTGCTGCAGGACTGATGCAAAAACTGAAATCTTTGGTGTAGTGGTTAAGGGTTTCTCCCTCACATGTAGAAGTAGAATACTAGAGTTTGATTCCCATGTGGGAATAAATTAATAATTGTTATCAAGTATCTCAGTCTTTCTGCTAGAACTACGTTGTTGTAGCCCTCTCTGCCCAGATTGGCCCTCACAAGCAGGGTCGAAGCTAGCCTACTAAATGATCTAAATTGTGTCGATGGGAGTGTACAAACACCTGCATTTATTTAGAAAACAAAAACAATTTAAAAAAGGGAACTAGGCATTGATAATCATTGACAGCATCTAAATCAAAATTAAAACCAAAAAGTTGAAAGAAAAAACAAGAACTGTAAGTCGCAGCCAACCGTACCTCAGTTGTGTAGTCTGCCACACACACCAATGGCAAGGGGTTCACCCTTTTATTTTTTTTCAATCATGCCATAAAAATTTTTTTAAACAATTTTACATAAAAACAAAAACACTCACTAATGTTGGACATTTTTTATATTTTCCTGCTTCAAATGTTCAGTATCAACTAAACCTAACTTCTTCTATCATAAATCAGAAAAAATTTCAAATAAATGAGTAACATGTATGTCTATATTACACAGTACATTAATTAGAAAGTATCGCACCTTAACCTTTGGTGTTGAATTTACAGGGGAAATAACCTTCGTCATTATCATTATCCTTTACCTATAAATATTCACAGACCGTAGGTTTAAAACTTTCATCTGACCGAGTCCCGGGCCTTTGTTAGATCAGTTGGTATCATCATACTAGACTACAGAGCATACGTCCCAGGTTCAAATCCCCATCAGGTCATTTTTTAACTCAGGTAGGTAAGTGGAGTTTTCAAGTTGAGGCTTTCAATCCATTTGGCATGATCCTATTGATTGGATATGGACGTTAAATTCAGAGGTCTTGCCTCTTTAATTCTAATACCACTACACTAACAGTGTTGAAAGGTGTGTTAAACTTGTTTTTATAGATACTTTGACCATTTTCCTCACGCAAATAAAAAATCCTCTGATTTATGAAATGACGAGAGCACACACAGAATTAATAAGCCACACACCATTTTCTTTATACAATGTAATTTATAGTGCATATTAACTCCTGACTTTTTATTGAGAACCCACGGAGCTAAAAAATAAAAACCTACTCCTTCGAGTTACATGGTAAGAGAGTAACTCAAGATACCTGGAATGCAAGGGTAAGACATCGTTTTGGGGATTTGACGATGAGCACCCCTACAACACAAAGAGAAGTGAGACGTTCTTAGCGGAAAACGGCCTCTCTGACTCAAGAGTGTTTTAGTCTAGTGATAAGTCAAAAGCAGCTTTATGGTGAATTCACTGACATAGAAATTATAATTCATTTTAAAGAAGTGATTTGTTGTCAATGAAAGACAAAAGCCATCTTTCTTTCTTCTGTACAATTTATTTTTAAAAAAGAGATGTGGGTCAAAGTGAAAGACAGATCCATCAAGCTTTTGAGCTGACATTTGTGAACCCTTTGTCCTACTTGACAAGACAAGTTTCTTGGCAGGTGTTTTTCTTCATGCTCTACCATCGCAAATCTAACTTCAAGGACTCAGAAATTGCAATCTCTATTAACTTCCCTCTCAATTTAACATTCGCAATTGCAGCCTATGCTGGACTACATGAAGTATTAAAATCTCGACCAATCCCAATAAGACTACAGAGAAGAGTGATATATTGCTGACACAATTCACATGCTCTTTAGATGATTAGATGCTTCTCTCGGTGTAGGCAGGTCGTTTCATAGAAAGAAAGAGCACTTATATTAGCTGACAACTCTGCTGCTGACAGGAAATAGATCTATTCCAAGAAGGATGACAATTATTATGATCCTTTTTCTACTTGAATCATGAACCTCAGCATGCCGATTAAGTTCTTACCCAACTGTGCCACAGCTGCCACAATAGTCATGCTGTAAAAGTGTACCCAATGCAACAATTTCAACACAGGTACGAGAAGTTTTTCCAACAAAAGAGTCCACAAGGATGAAATGATTTTACCCTATGTATGTTATCCCCCAAAAATTAATTCTATTCTTACACTGACTGTTTTTCTTATTGCTTCCTCAACCATAATAAACATTCCAATTAATAAAACAACAAATCATATAATCACAGAGATGCTAACACCAACCTGAATGAGAATACATTGGTAACATAAAATTTGTGTGACATTACCACAGAAAATATGTTCTGCTACATTTGACAACTTGACACAAATATATGGAATGCACTGGCGAGGTATCACAGCAGTTCAGCTGACTTTAAACTTTAAATTCAACATGTCATAAAAACTGAAATAAAATTACATTCTAATTACAAAGCAAAGCTTAAAATCCCCAAATATTCTTGATTGTGTAAACAATATTTTCAAATGGCAAACATCACATTTCAAAAGCAGTAGGAATTCCATTCCTTCTGTAAAATTCAGACTTCACATGCCCCACACGGACATGCTTTCTGTCAGGATGGTCTGTGTGAACGTCAAGGTAATGTCCATAAATGGTAGAAGCAAGAGTCGGGACATCCTTCACTTTTTCCTGTCAAGAAAACAAAAGCATGTTGAAAAATTCCAAATACTGTTTGTGAGACATCACGGTGAAATCAAGAGCTCGTCAAAAATGAAATCAAAGAAATCGGCATTTTTTTGGCCGATGGGCAATTTTTTTCTCATTTTCTTTGTTTTAGCTCAACACCTTTTATGTCCATTTAAAAAACACATTTTTGGGTGGATTTTAGAGAAAAACATTGATTAAAGGCACAAAAAATATACATTTTCAGTTTCCAAGAACTATCGCGCGGGCTACAGAAATTACCAAACTTTGGAGGCCATTTTCACGCTAATTTTACCTCTAAAACTGGGCGACCCTGACCTCTTTCAATCGCAAATATTTCGACTTCTATTCAACATAAACGGATTTTTTGTTCAGCACAAGGAAGGCAAATGAAAAGACTATTAATGTGAACCAATAACCCCATGTGCCCAAAATTTGATGAGCGCCTAATTCCACCAGTACGTGACACATATGTGTCCTGCAGCAGTTGCCTACCTCAAGGTTAACAGCTCAATTTCAAAAGTACGGGAAGAAACCAGTATCATCTACAAAGATACATCACAATTGCATTTCAATATTGTATTATGTACAGTGGTCTCTGTCTAAGCGCACTGTGAACTGTGCTCATGAGGGTTCTTAAGCGTGCATTAACCAAGGAATGTACGTTTAACCAAACCGTTCAAAGGGGGAAAGGGATGCAACCATCTAATTTTCTTGATATTTTAATGACCTCCCTTGAAAGGTTTGGGTGGTAGATTTCCCCAATGATGCAACAAGACGTAACTGTTTTATAAGGATTCCCCGATCGCTGTTATGACTACACAGGGCATTGAGTGAAGGACGGGAAAAAAACAGAAAGACCTACACACTGTACAGATGTGCTCTAACATGCCAAGAACAGATAATAAGAGGAAACTTGGTGATAGTCATAGAGAGGGAAGAACACTCAACCAAGCAGCTAACCAAGCAGCTTTCCAAGCGACCACTCCTGACTGCCTGTCATCTTTTGCAACGGTGTCTAAACATGTATTACATGTATATATATGGATGATATCAGACATTCTGAGAGACTATTCTCTTGTGATTCGTTGAATAAATACATTACAAACTATGTAAGTTTTTCAGTTTTTTCAGAGAAACTTGACTAATCTTAAATCCTATAGTGTTCTTCAGCATTCACACTTACTGCACATCATATTCATACATCATAGGCTTAACTAAATATTACAGCACAGTCACCCAAACACCAGTGAGAAACCTTCTCTCAATGATGCATTTCAAGAGACCTATTAAAAAACATTCCAGTCAAACACACCCCCCCTCATAAACAAGTCACTTGCCCCACCCTAGATTTATGTGCCCATGAAAAGTAGGGTGGTTCACGCTCTCCATCACTCTTTGTTCTGCGTGAAGGGCAGTCTTGCAAAATATTGGGTTGTCTAAACTTGTTTTATAAAGCAAGCTGTGAAGGTTATAGGGAAAATTTCCCTTTGTCAAGCTTTACCCGTCGATGTGTTTCACAGATCGAAGCCTACATTTAGATGAAGTGACCGTGCATTTGTACATCTAAATTAAAGACCTCTAGTTTAAAACCTTGTCTTACGAAGAAAGTATGCATATAAGTGGAGCGTGCCTTTGTATGGCTTGTATTTAGGCGGAGACTATACCGTACCGTATACCATATAAAAGCTCTGTTATTTTATTCGTGTAGACTTCCAGAGACTGCACCTCACTTTGCCCTTTACAAACATTAATTTTTAAAATTTAACTGTTTTGCTTCTCATCTCGGTCAGACTGTTTCATTAACTGTCAGACTGATAATGTTTTGCTTTTTTTTAATGTAGGTGCTTTTACACACCCATCGACACAATTTAGATAATTTTATTTAGGAGGCAAGCTTTAAGACTGAGCGAGAATCAAACTCAGGTCTCTTGCACACGATGGCAAACCGCCAAACCCCTACATCACACAAGCTGGTTTAAACTAGTAGCACTAGCAAACTAAAAATACAATGTAAAAGTAATAACAAAGATACAATATCGCGGAGTGGATAGAGTTGGTCATGTCTCTGGGTTAGCATTCTAAAAGAGTTTATCTGTTGTATACTCTCTGTGGAGTATCATGTAGTCTACCTTGCTCAGCAATTTTCTTCTGTGTCCTTTTTGAAAGCTTTACAGGTTTATGACTAAGTCTTTTACCAACAATGCGGTTATGGTTATGATTTACAACTAAAACTTAGCTGCTAATGAAAATGCCCTCTGGATATATTTCTTCATTTCAGACGGAAACATAGACAGATGCCAATTACCAGTACACAGAAGAGCAACCAGTCTCATCATTATAACTGAGTTCCATGGTAGTAAGAGTAAATGATATGGGGAGGTAATTTTCAGTGAGAAATTACCACACGTCTTGGGGGATTGTCCAGAAAACACAACTAGGAGGTAAGGCGAAAACAAAAAAGAAATTGTTCCGTTGTGAGAGCGGAAATAGAAACTAAAACCACAGCAGTTAGTGTAACAGATGATACAAAGAAACTGGTCGAAAAGGAAGTGCATAAAGGAAGAAGTCCTTTATAACACTTCAAAGAACTAGATCTATATATGTGTATAAAAGGAGTACAGTTTGTATGTCATTTGAGTTTTCAATTCAAACATTTATGGCTAAATACTTAATAAATTATCAAACATGAAAAAAGACTGACGTAAAGCTATTCCCGCATACGATCCGGACATTGGGAATTGCCTAGTTAGTGAAACAACTTCCTGGGCCTTCGGAATATTGTGGTAAGGTGGCCAGTTCCTTACCACCCCATCTTTATTTCCCCAACTAGAAGTCAGGAACCCATTACTGCTGGGTGGGCAAAAGGGGGCGAAAAAAATCTGTGTCTGAACCAAAGCTCGAACCAGGACTTTCCATTTCGGAGGCGAGCGCACTAATCACTACACCACCACACCCTCAGGAAAAAAGACTGCGTGTTTTTAAATTTGTTCCTGTTACCTCGTCATTCACAGTAAGTCCTCTTGATTTAGCGTGTTCTCTGTCGTCTCTGTGCAGTTTGTTGTTATAGCCATCCACTTTGCGAAACTGCCGGTCATATCGGGAGCCAGGATAATGATTCTGGAACAAAACATTATGCACACGAATCATAAAAAGAATACAGTACTAAAACTGGGTCAGCGTGGGGCAGTGATGAAAAGGCATCGTGCATAATTCCAAGGATTCTGTTTCAATACACACTGGAATTCAAAGGAATCTCTTTGAGGAAATTTGAAAGGTTCTCCGACACGTAGGTTCAGTCCTATTGTACACTGATACTAGAAAGTTGGTGGCGTCTCAAAACATAACTTTTGACACACCATCAAATTCTAATATTCTGAAAGTTTTTGAGATCTGAAATAAAAAGTAGTGTCCAAAATAAAGTAAAAGACCCTTAATATTAAAATAATAGACATTAAAAAATGACAGTTTAAAAGCATAGTCACTAAAGACAAGACAGTGTAATTCAAAAGAAAACTAATCATCAGAAACGTCTTAAGCATAAATTTCTTTGGTGGATTCAAGTTTTGTGTTTATACCAGCCATTATTGCAGATTATGAATCATGCAGTGCCCTGAGCTACATTTGTGAAAGTCAAAGAGAGACTTCTCTTCAGAATTTTGTGGCCTCCACTTTAATTTTAACCCTTTCCTGTTGCAGTTGCAGTGCTGCCTATCTTTTGTAGGTTTGACCTCTAAACACAGACAAGTTCTATAAATGCTTTTAACCCCTTCGTTGCCTTATGCATAGCTGCCCACCCCTCTCTGTGGCTATCAGGGACAGCCTTGCTCAAAATCAGGGACATTGACTAATTATCAGGGACACTTTGTATTTGTCAAGAAAAACTGGCTGCCTTTTCGGTTTCTTTGCTTTACTTGGTCCAGAGTCGGACTTAGAACTCATCGCCGAACGTTTTGACGCCATCTTTTCAAACGAATGAAGCCAAGCACTGCGCATGCGTATCAGCTGACTTTGTCGAAACTCCATACCTGCCAACTCTCCTGAAATTTTCGTCATTTTCCCGAGCAACAGAAGGCTAATTTTTCTGTTTTAGAAGCATGCTTGCCAAGTTTTTATTTTCCGGGACCGTCGGTCAAAATCCGTATTTCCGGGACAGCAAGGTTTGTTAACATGAAGCCGTTTGACACAAAATACCTGTTGACACAAAATAATTTTTTAAATTTTGTTTTTATCCCCTCTGGCCTATTCTATTATCATTGCAACTTCCCTGAACACTTTAAATGGTCTAGATCTAGATTCTACTCTAGATCCAGGCACTACTTGGATATGGTGGTCCCGACTTTTGTGACAGGGAAAATCTAGAATCTAACGACGATTACTTCTGGTTCTAAGTCTAGACAATTACTTTTTCATTCGTGTGCCGATATGGAGAGATAGCCTTTCAAACCTAATTGCAAAACATCAAATCGTGGGCATGCCCCCCTGAAACACCCCATGGGGTTTTTTTAGGTCAGGGGGGCAACCCCCCGTGCCTTGTGTAAAAACAAGTGAAATTTTACTGCTCATTTTGTAGGCTAGATTTAGATCTAGGCTACTGATAAAACATAAAACATTGATACTGACTATTTAAATCAGTATCAATATTTCAGTAGTAGATCTAGGCAAAGATAGTACATAACAAGATGGGCCACTCAGCCAAAAAAGTGTCCGCAGGAAGTTCGCTCTTTGCTTCAGATGGTGCTGCAGTCTGTTTTGAAGCTCTCTTTCGTTTTTCCCGAAGAAGAATAGGAATAGCACCTCCTTGCGTGCGCAGATCGACTGCTGTTCATCAGCAGTTCGGGTACGTCAAAGAGTCTACATAACAAGAGGGGCCACTTCTCTCTTTGAGCCAATTAAAAAAGTGTCCTCAAAATTCGATGTCGCCCTCTTCGCAAAAGCGTACCTTTAGCGAACAGAGTTATCCTACTTGAGTTTAAAAAATCAAAGTGAAACTAGCAAGTTTTTGAATGAATTTCGGAAGAACGCTTTTTTAAAATGGTTACGCTGACAAAAAAAAAACTGTTCCGGAGGAAAGGGTGATTGTTTTCTTCGTTTAATTTGACTTTAGAATGAAAGGCGAGAGGTCATAAAAATTTTTAAAAACTAAAACTCTGTACTGAACGAACTCGAACTGCTGATGAACAGCAGTCGATCTGCGCACGCAAGGAGGTGCTATTCCTATTCTTCTTCGGGAAAAACGAAAGAGAGCTTCAAAACAGACTGCAGCGCCATCTGAAGCAAAGAGCATACTTCCTGCGGACACTTTTTTGGCTAAGTGGCCCATCTTGTTATTTACTATCTTTGGGTACGTTCAGTGCGGAGTTTTAATTTTTTTTAAATTTTAATGACCTCTCGCCTTTCATTCTAAAGTCAAATTAAACGAATAAAACAATCACCCTTTCCTCTGGAAGAGGTTTTTTGTCAGCGTAACCATTTTTAAAAAACGTTCTTCCGAAATTTATTCCAAAAACTTGCTAGTTTCACTTGACTTTGATTTTTTAAAACCCAAGTAGGGTAACTCTGTTCGCAAAGGATGCGCTTTTGCGAAAAGGGCGCCACCGAATTTTCAGGACACTTTTTTAATTAGCTCAAAGAGAGAAGTGGCCCCTCTTGTTATGTAGACTCTTTGATCTAGGAGGCCTACACAAGTCGGGACCACCATATCCAAATATATCAAGATCTAGATCTAGATCTAGATATCTAGATCTAGATCTAGAATCTATTTTTAAAAAGAAAAGAAAAAACCTTTTTATCCGAATTGAAACAATTCCGTTCTTTTGGTTCGTTGAGCCGATTTGTTGGAACATGAGAAAATGCTGAAAGTTCGCATGGCCTTCCAGGTATATGGAATTCGTCAGTGCTGGTAACAACAGTGAGGCCCTGTGGTGTTTCCGCCATTTTGACGCTTTGCGTTTCTATACTCTTAAAGCCCAGGTTGCTATGTCACTATTAAAATATTTTTTTGAAGTTTTATATATCTTGTTATGCAAATACTATTTAAGTAGATTTCAACATCTGACATTTGATTAGATTGTAATAAAATTGTCTATTTCCAAATATCATATAAAATCTCAGGTCTCAAAATTCAAAATGGCAGCCTTCATGTCTGTAATTTGGTAAAAGTGAATGGCTTGCGTAAAAATCATGGTTGGGTGTTAACATTTTCCTTTTCTACCCTGTGACCACGTCTGAATTGGAGTACTGTTCCTTGCTGTTTCATATGGAAGGTTGTTAGATTTAATATTCATACATATTCGCGTGTGCTTTTGTAAACACAAACATCAGTTCTCACATCCGGGGTTTTGTGTTTACTTCACTCTGACTCTATACTTTTGTATTGTAGGAAAGGAAAGCAATATATTTTGTAAACACACTTTATTCTACTCATGCCGCTGATGTAATAAGATAGCTATCAAGTGGATTTGGGACTTAAATCTCTCGGAGTACCCAACTACTCCAACTCCAAGCAAGGGATTTGGAGTTATGGAGGCCCCTACACAAAGTGTAACAAAGTCAAATGTCAGAACAACAACAGTACAAACAACAGCAGACTATAGGACCATTGTCACTTTTGAAGACTAGGGCCTAGACAAGAATCTAGATTTTAGATCTAGATCTAGAGTCTAGATCTAAATGATAGATCTAGTCTAGATTCTGTAGCCTAGTATAGTTTGGTAAACAAGTTACACAAATCGACTGATGAGTAGATAGATTGTAAATGGGCAGAGAGGAAAATTATTAGACTCTGGAATCTGGTGTAAAGAAATGATGCAGGATTTGGAAAGAGAATGAGAATACATCATGCATAAAAAATGACAATGCAACCTCCTCTCTCTGTCTCTCTCTCTGTCTCTGTCTCTCTCTCTCTCTCTCTCTCTCTCTCTCTCTCTCTCTCTCTCTCTCTCTGTCTCTCTCTTTCTCTCTCTCCCCCCCCTCTCTCTCTCTTTCTCCCCCCCCCCCCTTTCCTCTCTCTCCACCCTCCCTTTCTTTGCTCCTCTAACTGTTAGTTAAAGATATTCTCACTTTCCCTTGAATTTAGAATTTTATTAGTTGAAATTAAAACTTGATCTAGATTATCTATAGTTAAAGTTACACAAAAACCAGTCTTTGAAGTGATTGATTTTGACTGAATGTTATTTAAATTTTGTCCTGCGTCTTGTGCCGAGATGCGATTCTTACCAGCAACCTATTGCGTTGGAAGTTCCAGGCCGGCAGTCGGGGTCACTCAGCGTGTATTGTTGGTGTACAACGAGCGGGTCTGGAAACGTGTGTTGATCGATTCTCGATGATGAAAATAACTTTATCAATAGCGTTCTATTTATAAAGAGTTACGAACACATTCAATAACCCTCTCTCATATAAGCTGATAAGACATTATGAGTAGTTATGCCCATTTGAATATAAATATACCTTTTTAGACGCTCTTCTCGTTTTATGAATAATCTGGGGTTTGAAAGGAGATAAAAAGGTCAATTTCCGAATGTTTTGGTCTCTAATTTAATTGTGTTCTTTTTTCTTGTACACAATGGTATTCAAGACTATCAAATAAGCTTTAAATTTTTATCAGGTAGTATCATTTCATATAATTTCATTGGACGAACATATATAGAGAAAGCTACCAACTTGGCCTGTTTTGAATTCATGAGACGTATGGTTAGATACGAACCAACGCAGGCAGTTCTAGAAGTAGGCCACAAACGCACTCAAACTCAAGAAGACTAACACATACACACTTGAGAGCTGCGGGACTCGAACGGAATGGGGATGATGTTCGGCGAGTGTGCGCTGAGCTAGGACCGGACTGGCACGGGACGGGAACGAAGTGTGTCCGTTATAGCAGGGTTCTCGTTATAAGGGATCCAGTAAAATAAATTCAAGGGAAATAATATACTAGGCCTTCTCTATGAATTTGGTATTTTGTTTGTTTCTTTTTGTTTTCTCCCCTGATGATGATTTTGTTTCAACATGACCTCCAGCTCATACGCAAAAATCGAATCAGGTATCTTTCTCCAACGCTAGCGATGTTGACATCTCGGAGTTGGCAATTACAAAGAAAGGGCTCTAGGCTAACTCGTCAGCTGTGTTGTCCCCCACCCCACCTCACCACACCCTGTGGTGCATTCTGTCTGCTTGCGCACGCCACACATTCTCTCCATCCGTCATCACGGTGACATCTCCATCCCCGCATCAGAGAAATGAGTGGCATGGTAGGCCTAGGCCTTTTAATCTAGACTATCACGCAATGCGTGCGCATGCCACACCCTCCCCACTCTTTCGCTCCGGTCTTCATTGTTGACACACGTTGGCTCTCCCATTCTTTGTTTCACTAGTTCACCAACAAGTTTCTCCACTTGCGAGGTTTTACATTATAATGTATAATTGGCCTATGCGGTGTGCACAGCAGCAGCAATTTGTGTGATTGTGCCAGTATTTTATTTGCAAAGATAAAGAAGAGAAAAAAACAGGGTTTTAGAATAGTGTCTTTTTAACAGACTTTTCGTTATTTCAGGACTCGTTAGAAGTGGACTCCACTGTAGTAGGAGGAAGAATGGATCGAGTGGGGGAGAGGGTCGGTAGTTAATGTCTGTTTATTGTCAATTATCAGGTAAAGGGATTATAATTGCCCTGCTGTAACTGTAAGGATCTGTGTGGTGAAACACTCAGGGAAAGGGTCTACTGAAGTTCAATTTTCATCAAATCTCCATTTTATACACTTTCTCCTTATATGGAACAAAAGCAACCATTTAACATTTAGGTCCAATTTGGTCAGCTCCTCCAATGTAATAATTGATAATGATCAGTTTGAAGATACTAATAATAAAAAAATAATGATAATGTAGAGATCATTTCTATAGCGCCCACTACTTTGTGAACACAGCTCTTGGCACTTTACTTAAATGCATTATATTATATATATACAAACAATATTCACACACACATCACATGCACACACGTACACTCACATGCACGCCAAACACGCGCGCGCACACACACACACACAAAGACTCACATGCATCGACTTGGTTATCACACGCGCACGCTTACACATCGTTACAAAATGATCACATACAAATTTATACATATAAATAAAATAAAAGCAATTTGCAAAACACATAAAAATGGATACTTAACGTCATTTACATAACTTTGTACTGAAAATTAATCTATTGAGTATAAAAATGATGTCATTAAATGTGTCTTTAAAGATATTTTAGATTTAAACTCAAATGTTGTAGGTCTCAAGGGTTGGGGAAGAGAGTTCCAAACTGATGGAACAAGGTGGGCAATCGTTCAGCTAATTTTTTACCTCCTTTTCTAGGAACTCTTAAAAGATACTGATCGCCTGATCTTAGTGATCTAGATGAAACATTAATGTGGACGAGATCACTAAGATGTGAGGGAGCTTTGCTATTAACACATTTATGACATAATATTGCACTTTTATCTATGACATTCTAGCTGACAAGGGGAGCCAATGCAATGTTCTTAACATGGGAGTAATGTGATTCCTCTTCTTTTTCTTAGTAAACCTAGCTGCATGATTTTGAAAACGTTGGAACTTGTGTTATGAAGAGTGGTGTATTTGGTATGTTAGCTAGCAAAGCATTGCAATTATATTCAATGCGTGAAAATAAGAAAGATGACACAAGCGTTTTCAATGAGTGTTCATTGAAACACATATACACTTAATTTTATAACGATACAACATGTAAAATTAACTCCTGTTCAAAAGTGAGTGTATTGAAAAATGAAATACCTTCATCTCTATTTTCTTTTCTTTTCCTCAGATGAAAATGTTCAGGCAAGAGTTTATCACTTGACAGGAGCCAAAAATAAGATGGGGGAAACTTGAGAACAGTCACAAGACACTAAATATTTCCCTCAACAGCAGTAGGGCCTTCTAAGTGGCTTATCATTGCTTTCTTGCGCCTTTGGAGAATATCGAGCCTTTCATCACCATGGGGGCCTGTGTGTGCAAGGACAAGAACCAAGATCCTCCGATCACACAAGCGGAGGAGAGTGATAGCAGCTCTCATGCTAGCATGCATCGTCAGAGAGACCACAGTTATTATCACAGCGTAGCCACTGCATCGGGCTCAGACCAGTCAGATCGAAGACACAGACATCGTCACTCCCATAATCGTTCTCACAACCATCAGGTTTGTACTGCAGATAGATTGGTTGGCTATCTCTATCTTTAGGACAGTAGAGATTAAGAAAATGAAAAATGTAATTTTAGCATTATAACTACGTAGATGGGCTGTTAAATAAAAAGTGACTGTCCTTGACAGGTAGACATCTTGGACAGTGTCATTATGGTAGAGAAAAAAAAGGGGGGGCAGGGGGAAGTGTGGCCGTTTGTACGTTAGATGATTGTCATGTACAGGTGGAGGTTAGAGCAGGTCTGACAGTATTTGATGAGATTGAGATGATATAAAGGGATTTTTAGACGTATTTATAGTCGTCAAAATATTTTTTTTTTTAATGTTAACCTTTATCGTGGCGTCTAGGACGTACGTCAAGCCACACAACTACTTCCATTGAGTGGTAGTCACCACATATGTTGTTTCTTAACTGATTCCCTGCTTAGCCAAAATTTGTGTTCTACCCTGGGTTGCGGAGCAATTTCCCAGTGAACTGGTTGGGTTAGGGTAGGATGGAAAAGTGTTATTGTAATAAAACTAATTCAGATGTCATCAAAATTCTTTTGGCTGCTTATCGGAAATTGAATGTAGATCAAGTATTTTGTGGTTTGTAAGATTTTGAACCAATATATATATGTGTTTGTAGGTGGTTGGCAGGTGCTCTGGTGTTGTTTTTGCTAGTTTGCATCTTCTGTCCTATCAAACATCTATCGTCTTTATCTCCCCTTCTTCTTTTTTATGTTTGTTACTCTCTTGTAACAGCTCTAATCTTCTGGCGCTCATATGACCTGATGCAGTTGCGAGCGCTGTAAAAACCTCTACTAAAACTAAATATATGTGT